GGGGTGGAGCCTGGGGAGGAAAGGAGTGGGGAAGGGAAGGGCCTCTGTGAGGTATTGTCTACCCTCCAAAGCAGCCGTTTTGTCCAGGAGAAGTGCTCTCTGTCGACTGGACAGTAATTCCAGGAGGTTGTGATTCCAGGAGATCTCCAGGCCACACCAGGAGGTTGGAAACCCTACGTGGCATGCTCCTGTAACCCTCCTAACATCTTGGCCTCCGTCTTGGATGTGGGTTTCTTGCCAGCGTTGTACGCTGATCGCAGTTGTGATTATTCAGCAGTTAGGAGGGTAAAGCCAGATAAAAATACCAGATAATCTTAATGCACCTTCTGATTTGGTGAACTGTCGATGCAGAGGGTTGTTGTTATTCACTGGAAGAAGGAAGGGAGAAATATTTTTTAAAAATTAAAAAACTGTGTCGATGCATGAAGGCATGCGCATACCTCTGTGGACTTGTGCCTACCTCTGAGTTACATAAACAAAAGACCTTGAGTCAGTCACAAGTTCTCTCTCAGGAGCAGTTCTCAAAAGAGCTCTCTCAGCCCCACCTACACTGTGGGAAGGGGAAGGGATTGCAAGCCACACTGAGACTCCTTCAGGTAGTGAAGGGTGGGGTATAAATCCAATCTCTCCTTCCCTTCTTCTTCTCTAATCGAAGAAAGATCCTTTTAAAATAGCCTTTATTTGACAAACATGTTGTGACAGAATCATTTGTTTGGTGTTTCATTTATGAGCTTAAGGTTGCCAACTCTGGGTTGGGAAATCGCTGGAGATCTGGGGGTGGAGCCTGGGGAGGAAAGGGGTGGGGAAGGGAAGGGGCTCTGTGAGGTATTGTCTACCCTCCAAATCAGCTGTTTTGTCCAGGAGAAGTGCTCTCTGTCGACTGGACAGTAATTCCAGGAGGTTGTGATTCCAGGAGATCTCCAGGCCACACCAGGAGGTTGGAAACCCTACGTGGCATGCTCCTGTAACCCTCCTAACATCTTGGCCTCCGTCTTGGATGTGGGTTTCTTGCCAGCGTTGTACGCTGATCGCAGTTGTGATTATTCAGCAGTTAGGAGGGTAAAGCCAGATAAAAATACCAGATAATCTTAATGCACCTTCTGATTTGGTGAACTGTCGATGCAGAGGGTTGTTGTTATTCACTGGAAGAAGGAAGGGAGAAATATTTTTTAAAAATTAAAAAACTGTGTCGATGCATGAAGGCATGCGCATACCTCTGTGGACTTGTGCCTACCTCTGAGTTACATAAACAAAAAAGACACATCTGCCAGGGCTATTTTTGGGCAGGAACGCACAGGAACGGAGTTCCGGCTGGCTCCTGAGTTGGCCACACCCAGCAGGAACTCATTAGCATAATAGGCCACACCCAACAGCAGAAACTCATTAGGATTGGCTACAATTAGGGGTGTGTGGCCTAACATGCAAAGGAGTTCCTGCTACAAAAAAGCCCTGGGTTTTGGCAACAAACAAGGTAAACAGAATAACAAGCAAAAGGTGGGTGTGGCTGGATAACCACACTTCTGGTAACATGGGGGTGCGGCTTAATATGCTAATGGGTTTCTGCTGTTGGGTGTGGCCTATTATGCTAATGAGTTCCTGCTGGGCTTTTTCTACAAAAAGAGCCCTGCACATCTCTATTCCCAAGGAGCTTTGAATTGATATTTCAATAGTGGAGATGTACAACACAGCTGATACAAAAACCACTCAGCAGCATACCAGTGTGGTGGTGTGAACCACTATGGTGCTCACAGCAAGACCCCTTGAATAGAAATGCGCTAGAGATCACCTGCAGAAAAAAGAGTTTGAATCCCTTCTGCCGCAGCCACACACACAGCCTTCAAACAGCTTCCTTTTTGACAAGGGAATACATGAGGAAGGAGAGATGGGCCTCTGTAACACATCACCCAGCTACATTACCCAACTTCAGGTGCGATCATACGTACCAAAAGCGGCGGCAACATCTGTCCAGTGTCCCAGAATCATTGGGGGGTGGCGTGTTGTTGCGCCGCAGGAGGGTGGAAAAAAGCCACCGGGGAAAGGCTACTATTATCCGGAACTGCAGGGCACACGGCCGGAAGTCTGATCACGCAAACGCGCGTCATTTTGGCCCGGGGAAAACAGCCTCCCACCCGCATTTTCTCGCTCGTGTGACCGCAGCCTTCCACATGAAAACTTATGACGTCACCACAACAAGCATTCAGGTCCCACTCCTGGAACTGTTAGATGCTCTCATCCTTTGCTCTCAGGGTGCCATTCCCCCGTCGGAACTCCAGTTGCCTGTCCTGCAGGAGTGATGACATCACTTCCAGGAAAAGCCCAGATATTATGACTGGCAGCTCTAGGAATCGCTGGAAAGTCTATGGTTTTACCATAGAGTTTATGGCGATTTCTAGAGCTACCAGTTGTCACTTCCAGGTTTTTCCTAGAAGTGATGTCACCATTGCCAAACAGACACACACTATGTCCTCAACCCTCCAGGCCCCACCCTGAGGTTGGTCACACTATTTGGCTACCAATTTAGAGGGAAGGGGTGCAATCTTCAGGAGGGAAGAAGTGGCCGCTTGCTGTAATCAGGTGCATCTGAGCCTAAGGTGGATCGACCTGTGGGCTGTGGTTGCCAACCTCCAGGTGGGGCATGGAGATCTCCCAGAATCACAACTGATCTCCAGTCTAAAGAGATCAGTTCCTCTGAAGGAAATGTTAGCTCTGGAGGATGAACTGGAGGGTATTATTCCCAGCTGATTTCCCTCCCCTCCCCAAACCCTGCCCTCCCAGGGTCTACGCCAAAATTTCCAGGAATTTCCCAACCTAGATTTGGCAATTTTAGACAGACAGAGGCTGGGTGAGACCACAGAAGGAGCAGGTAGGCAGGAACAAGGAAGGGAGCGTGAGGCTACCAGCACCCAGTCCTGAAACACTCCGTCGCCTCAACCAAGAGCAGAAAGTATATTAGGGTGGCAGGGGTTGCCACCAGCAGGGGATGGGGGGGGTAGGGCTGCCGGATCCAGGTTGAGAAATTCCTGGAGATTTGGGAGTGGAGTCTGGGGAGGACAGATAGTTCAGTGGGGTCCATAGAGTCCACCCTCCAAAGCTTCCATTTTCTCCAGGGGAACTGATCTCTGCAGACTAGAGATGAGCTGTAATTCCAGGGGATCCCCAGGTCCCACCTGGAGGCTGGCATCCCTAAACTATACTTTTGGGAGGAACAGCCTACTCGCAAGCAAGGGCCCAAAGGTGGGTATAAAGTGGAGCTTGGAATGCTGCCTATAAAAGTCGTAAGGAAGGAGAAACCAAGGGGAGGGGAGAAACCCATCAGGAAAAAAGAATGGAGATAAGGAATCAAAAGTATGTGGGTGTTAACCAACCGGCTCTGCTCCTTCTGAGGCCCTGGGCATTGTGTATTATTCATCTATATATCTATTAGCGAAAGGCAGCCCCTGCGTGCGGATACCTAAATCCGCTAATCGGGGGCACCTGGGGGGGAGGGAGATTTTTGTGCACACTTGGGGCAGTCCCCAGGTGTGCACAAAAATCTAA